ATAATCAGTCTTTTACACAGAGAAAGATTCAACACCTGCCATAGGTGTGAAAGTTCACGAGAAAAGAATCAATTCCTTCTATAGGTGTGAAGATTCGTGAGGAAATAATCAGTCTTTTACACAGAGAAAGATTCAACACCTGCTATAGGTGTGAAAGTTCACGAGGAAAGAATCAATTCCTTCTATAGGTGTGAAGATTCGTGAGGAAATAATCAGTCTTTTACACAGAGAAAGAATCAACACCTGCCATAGGTGTGAAAGTTCACGAGGAAAGAATCAATTCCTTCTATAGGTGTGAAGATTCGTGAGGAAATAATCAGTCTTTTACACAGAGAAAGAATCAACACCTGCCATAGGTGTGAATGTTCACGAGGAAAGATTTAACCTTGTCTGAATATTTCATATAGAAAAAAAATCAACCCTCTACTAAAAATGTAAAGGTTTAATATCAAAACAACTCATTTTGGTTATCCTAAGGTTTTAGTAGTGACAGAGAAAAATAGTTATTTAATTCATACTAGCTGGAGTACCCGTCCCCTGGACGGAAGTTATATAAATTCATCATTAATAAAAGGACATGAAAAAGTTACTTCCCATATATGTAATTGTAAAAGATGCCCATGAAAACTGCAAAACACAAAAGGCGAAACCGCAATTGTATGTGTATCTCCATATAGACCCAACACACCTTCATGCCAAATTTGGTGAAGATTCATCTACAGGGGCGACGTAGTGGTAAAAAAACAGCAAAATACAAAACTGAAAATTTGTATGTAACCCCACATGGGCCTGATGAGCCTCTATACCAATACAACAGACAGTACTATTATACAGATATATATATATATATATATTATACATATATATATATATGGTTGTGTTTAATATAAAGCCTTTTTTTTTTCAGCTGATGTATTTGATCAGTGAAGGAACAATATACCAGGAAACAAAAACAGGAATTGGATCTGTAATTGTTTAAAGAACAATTATGGGGGGATACATCAGTATTGGGGTACAAAAAACAGGTAACTTTTTTACTTGTTATCTTTAATCGTACAAAGCAAGCGACGATAGTCACACAAAATAAATGTCGTTGTAACCCTATCGTATAGTTATATGACCCCTGTTATTATCTCTCCGCATTAGGGTCACCAGCAGTTCTACTGGAAAGACTACCTGCTTACTAAGATCGTTTAGCGGACGTTGACTGTAGTCCTGAAACATGATGTCCTGAATCTAATCGACCAAATCGCCCACTGGTCACACAAAGAAAACAAACACACACAAGAAACTACTAATGAAAAGTTTCTCTGTAACACAAAACCATCTGTCAGCCATGTTAGCTTAGTCGAACTAGAGTAATTTCCTTTATATATCTATTTTTCTACACACCCCAAAAGTTTCACGAGAGGGCGCTACGTTATATCGCGGCTTCTTTGAACTTGTTTCCGGTCCGCTAGTTTCAGCAGCCCTCCTGCAGTGAACCTCGGAAAGTAGTCCCAGATGAATGCTTGCAGTCTACCCAGGTCTATACGGCCTGAGTAACGAGATTAAAGCTGAATGAAGCATCTACTGATAATCGCAGCAAAGGCTACAATAGACGTTTGTTTCAAACCCACTTATTTAACTATAAACTTTGGACGTTAGCTGTGGGTGCCATAATCGAGACTATAGCTGATTTAGTAAAATAGAACACACTACAACAAATAGTTGATTTTATGTGTTGAAATGATTTAATAACTTGATATTTTTTTACATGTTATTCTACCATTATCACCATTTCACATGCTGGGTCTCACCATAAACACCTGAAGGCTCTTCTTGTCCTGCTCCACCGCCATTGTAGAGATTGGCCATAATTATCTGAAATGGCCCGGCATGGCCAGGTGGTTAGGACGCTCGACTCGCAATCTGCGGGTCGAGGGTTCGCATCCCCGTCCCACCAAACATGATCGCCCTTTCAGCCGTGGGGGCGTTATAAAGTTACGGTCAATCCCACTATTCGTTGGTAAAAGAGTAGCCCAACAGTTGGCGGTGGGTGGTGATGACTAGCTGCCTTCCCCCTAGTCTTACACTGCTAAATTAGGGACGGCTAGCGCAGATAGCCCTCGTGTAGCTTTGCGCGAAATTCAAAACAAACAAACTAACTATCTGAAATATCTTTCTGTTTACTGCTACATACCCATCACCCAATTATAGGCTGACCATAACCATTATGAAGGGTCTACTGCTACGTATTAATCAACATTGTAGTGATTGACCACAACCACAATAAATTAAGTTAACAAGTAACCAACTAACATACACTTTCGCAAATTAAGTATCAAATTAATTCAAAAATTAAGTTCATTGTTAGTAACCTCTCAACAGTGATAACAAGAATATTCCCACAAACCATCATGGTACTGATAAAATAACAAAAGACCAAACAACTAACTGAATATTAAAAAAACAAACAAACTATAAAACACGTACTGAGGCTAAGTAACAATTGCTATTTAAAGAAACCAAACATAAAGGTTACTAATTAAAGAACAGGAACATTGTAATAAATTCTGACCATAGTGCTAACTTATTTTATCTGTACATAGTTCTTATTAAGAACAATGACTAATCCTTATATCACCAAATAAGACTCTTGACTCGTCAACTCCAAATATAAGTACCTTGTTTTCATGTTTATTGAAATTCAGTACGAAGTCTGCGATTTTATTTTTTAAATAATTAGTTTTATCCACCTAGTGAGGATTTGGGCCACAGGATACCCTCTTCACAAACAAATTCAAAAACAAACAAAAATAAACTATCTTCTTTATTTCATAATTGATACTTACTTATTATCCCCTTCCTCAAACTTGTTTTAAAAATATTCGCAACAAGCTACAAAGAGGTCTATCTGCGGTTAGCCGTTTCTAGACTAGATGGAAGGCAGCTAGACCACAGCAACCGCCGCCGACTTTTGGGCTTCTCTTGTCTGATCGAATAGTTGGATTTAACAGTCACTTATCTAACGCTTCCATGGGGATGCGCACTTTAAACTTTCGAATTCAAATCGAGGGCACGCTAAATACTGGGTTATAACCGGCTCTTCCCCCTTGTGACAAGCTTGTTATTATCATTGACTTCTCATATTAGTTCCCTGATTCTGAATAATTTTCTGGTAAATATTAGGTCGTCAAGAAATTAATGTCGCTTTTTTTAGGTGAAAAATCCCGAACAACTTATATATCAAAAC